GCCCTCAGGCCCCTCAGGCTGGGCTCGTTAACAATCACAACAAGCTACTGTTAGTGGATCCATATTCCCTCACCTGTGGCATGTGGGACGAGGCTACACCAGCAGTCACCCGCCAGTCTCCACTCGACAACTTTCGACAGAGCCGGTGTTTTCCTACGAGGAAACGGCCAAGCTCGCTGTAACCGGGCGCCTCTCGGAGTACGATCACAATTTTGTCGCAACCTTTGCGCGACGCAACCACGTCTACTTTTTATTCTACAGGCGTGACCTGAAAGCTGCATCGAGGGAATATCGTACGTACGTGGCACGGGTGTGCTTGGACGATCAGGCGTATTACTCCTACGTTGAGGTTCCGCTAATGTGTCGCTCGGCCTCAACAGGAAGGAACTACAATTTCCTCCAGGGGGCGCAGGTGGGTGGCGAGGAATCTGGAGGCTCGCAGGTTTTGATGGGAGTCTTTTCAACGGCGGTTAGTGCTGCTAATGGACCCGGCGAGGAATCTGCATTGTGTGTGTACTCTCTGGATGAAGTGGACCGCGGTATTGATGCTACACGAGACCTGTGCTACACGCAATACGGGGAGAAAGATGGCAACAAGGTGGCATACATTGAGTATGACGTTAAATCCAACTGTGCCAACCTGCCTACAGTGAGTAAATGAATCGAGAGTTTCAAATATTCTCTTAAGCTGTATCCTAACAAATAGTGACAAAATATAGAGGGGAAAAAATACATTCCAAGTTAATGGAATTTTTTTTTTCAGCATGAAATGAATATTCACTCTATTTTCTAAATGCTATAAAAGTTATAGATCTTATTGTAAATGATTCATAGAGGTGTAGCAATAGAGGTGGGCAATATGATCAAAATCATATTTATTGATACGAGTAATTTTTATTTCGTTATAACATTGGATATCACAATACAGTTATGTATCGTTTATTTTATCTTTGTTAGTAAAAAATATTATACCACCCATCAGTAGTTGTAAAATAAGCCTTAGCAAGACAAAGGATTCAGGCATTTTATTCCAAAACTGTACTCCAAAATGTAATTTCCACCACAGAATTCTGTTAAATGCTATATGTCATTTGAAATGTGGTAGAAATGACATACACAATTTTCCAAAAAAGAAAGAAAGAAAAAAATGATTGAATTCTTCTGTGATGTGATGCTTTTGGACATCGTTAGTAGACTAATTAAACTATTGAGAGTGTGAAAAGTGTGTTTTAGTATGTCACACCACTTTGTTACACTGTATACCTGTGGCTTTGTAATATTGTGTTAGGCAAAAATGATAACCCAAGTGATCTGAGCCAGGGCATAAATAAGAGGGTTAGAAAAGCCCTGGAGAAGACTATTTTATTGATGCTAAAAATATATTCGATTTATCACACTTGATAATGACAAAGTGTTCATTTTACAGGAATATTTGATCGATGCAGTTCACTTGTACACTGTCTTCACATTGAAACGTTATACATATACATTATCCATATAAATAGGTTTTGAGGTCAACCATTTCCACATAATCATCATAGTAGTTTAACTTTGTTTGAAAAGCATGGGAAAATGGGGAAAGGATGCCCACAATGTAACTCAAGGGAACTGGGCCACATCATTTTCCTCTACCAGTGTATTCAAACTAACATTTATCCTAATTTAGATGCATTGCCCCTCATTAATTCTCAGGCAAATTGCTCTAGCTCATACGATTCTGCCTGCCATGATCTGAGTGAATTATGTTTTTACTTTTTGATGAGCATAAGACAGGCCTACCTAGCATTAGTCCTAACAAGATCTTAAGATAAATCAAAGACCTCAAGGATGTGGGCTCACGGGCAAACAACCTCCTCATGACCTCCATGTATTTGCCTATTCAGCATCCAGAACCCAGCCTGCTCAGTCCTAAACAGGGTTATTCGGATCAATAAACCCCCAAGCTTAAACTACTAATGATGTCTGCTAGAGAGGAGAAAGTCTGAAGAGGGTTAGATGTCTAGAAGACTTCTAGAAAGGAGAGAATTGCCTGTTAAAGGGATAGTTAGTTTAGCTTGCTTTAGCTGTCATTTATCGACCGTCATGATGTATAAACCAATATGACTTTACTTTATAGGACACTGAAGGAAATATTCAGCAGAATGGTCATGTGGATCTTTTTAATACAATGAAAGTGAATTGGGATAGATCTCCAAAAATGTTAAAAAATATCATAAACGTACCATAGATAAGTTCTCATTCGACATATTATTGAAGCAGCACAGTAGCTTTCTTGTTATTCTGCCAAACGTATTGTTGCGTTTGCTAAAATAATGACTTTAATGTTTGTCTGTTCATCATACAAAGCTATTTGACTTTGGACTTATATGGCACAGTTCATACAGAATACTTTTATAATGATTTATTATGCTTTTTTGTCCATTTTGGAGCTTGACAGACTCTGGTCCCCATCCACTTTCATTGAATGGAAAAGAGCAGCTTGAACATTCTTCGAAACATCTTCTTTTGCGTTCCACCGAAGGAAGAAAGTCATGTTTTTAACAACGTGAGGTTGAATAAATGATGACAGATGTTTTGTGTGAACAATCCCTTTAAATAGGATGTCACTGATCCACAGACAAACACTGCCACCCAAATACAGGATTCTTTGTGTTTCTTGCAAATCCTCAAACACTGAAACACATTTTCCTGATCCCCATATGCTCTTTAGTCTGGTACATAAACAGATCACTTCTGATAATGAGGGAACATGGCATGACATGCGAGCTAGATTTTATCAAAGAACGCTGGAGCAGATTTGATAGCGTTAGACTCAAAGGAAGGAGCAGCCTAGTGTGAGACCAAGATAATCTTCATCTAATCTGGCTTTTTGAACTAAGAGGATTTGACAGCCTTGAGGCAATAGACTGAGAACTACGGGTTCAAAAAAACTGAGAATTGCAAAGTTTATTATTACACAACATGAAACTGGATTATGTCACAATGGTTTTTCCAAAACCAAAGTCACAAAAACGTGTTTTTGTGTCCCACAGAACACCCTGAAGGCTTATCCCTGTGGCTCGGATCACACCCCGAGTCCAATGGCGAGCCAGGAGTCGGTTGAAGCTGAAGCTGTATTGGACAGCTCATCCGCCCGTCTCACTGCAGTCGCCGTTAGTGTAAAGGAGGGGCACACTATTGTTTTCTTGGGTGACTCCAAAGGCAATTTGCATAAGGTATGTGACATGAAAATTAGCCGTTTGACTGGTCATTTCTAAAACAATTTATTTATGATTTATAGTATGCCTTTTAAACCACTAGGGAAATATTAGTCCACTTAATATGGTAATATTATCTGCCTACTTAAGCAGATGGAAAGAGATTTCGCCTGCAGGGTGAATGTGTCATAGCCAAGACAGTGCTGAAACAGCATACCTAAAGCTTTTTTGTGTTTCTTCAGTCGGACCGCAGAGCAGCCTTCAACACAAACCACGCTGTGTGAAACACTGTATTTGCAGGATTGTGATTGCTCAGAGACCACCGGAGACTCAGTTTGACAATGCTTGTAAATTCAAAGGGCTCGTGAGCTGAAATTTAAACACAGACCAAGTTACGTCTAGGCCTTGCACTGACTGGATTTGTGTGTCTCAATGGGCAAAGGTTAAACCATAGTGTTTGGTTAATTCTGAACAACAGTGCATGACCCAAGCCTCCCTATGACAACCATCCACTGTTCTCTGCTGTTTTGACACATTTTGGCAAGTCAGTGTTATTGTTCACAAGCATGTGTGACATTTTCACAGTGGAAGACAAGTGACGCATTTAGACAACAACATAATGAATAGGCATCAAAACAATATGCATAAGGTGTTAAAGTTTGGCTATTTAATATGTTACGTTTTATTAAATTTAATTATATCGCAACAACAGAAATGGGAAGTGTATGTATTGTGTATTGTTATATAAATAGGAATTATATTTTATATACTGTAAATATATGTTAACAGGTAGAATTGAAATATGAAAATAAAGCAATACACACTTTACTAGATAGATAGATAGATAGATAGATATTTTATATAAAAATCACTGTAATGGAATGTGTGTGTGTATGTGTATATATATATATATATATATA